TAGGGTTTCCTTCTTATAGTAATTTTACTTTACAGTCCTTACAGCAACGCTGAAAGTGCTTACCATTGAGCTTGAAAAGCTGGTCCAAGCGCGGCCACCCTCTAAGCAGTCAATCCGTGACGTGCGGATGAGTCATTCCCGCAAGCATATCATACGCCAGGGGATTTGACCCAGGTGACACGTGAGAGCGTTAGCCAGGCTGCGGACAAGTCATCCCCGCATTTCGATCATGCACCAGGGGAGTTAACCCAGACAACAGCAGGGGTCGTGCTGGACTCAGTGTGGCGCAGGCTTGCAGTCACAGGTAAGCTTGGCCATGACTCGGACAGCGTCCCTGCTCGCCAGACTTCTACCTCGAGCCTTACAACGCCTCTGCAGGATAGCAGTGTGGGACCGGGGCAGACAGTGAGCTTTCCTCAAGGCAAGAGCGAGCGAAAAGCTCTCGTTGTGGACGAACGACAATTAAGCCGCCAAACCACCCAGCCTAGTCAAGAGCCAGGGGTTCTAGAGGTTCCTCATAGACCTCAGTCAGTTCCTAGACAATTTGGTAGCTTTAAGCCAAGTTGTGGAAGTCCAAGGACTTCTAGGTCGCAAGAGTGTGGCCCCAGCTCCCGTCGTTGTGAGCCCGGAGCTGGGGGGGGGGGGGGGGGCGGGTTGTCAAAGCAACCTTTGAAGGCCTGCTTCATTCAATTTGGGCCCTGTGGTGCCAACAGAATGCATGGGCTCCAGATCATCCCTTTCAAGATCAATCCCCAGAGGCGTCCGAGCCGTGCCAGCGTTAAAGAGGACGCGGGCTTTCAAGTTTCTGTGTGCTCACATTTGAGTTGTGCGGGGATACCGGGACATGGAGTACATACATATTTATATATAGCCAACGAAAAAAGATCAGCTGGCAAAGAGGACACTTTGTTTAGATTGGGCCAAGAGCTTTCTTGAATAGAGGCACGCAGATGCCCTTGAGCTGCCATTCAGTCCGTTGGCAGTGTTTCTGATGAACCTAGGCCCGGAAGCAGTTAATACACACCAAACAGATTTGGGAAGAAAGACGGTGTAGCTTCCAGAAGCCCCTAGCACGCTCATCAAGTGCTACGAGCCTCAGCCTCTAAGTCACCCTAACCCTAACCCTCAATCACTAAGCCCTAAGCNNCCTAAACCCCAAATCCCAACCCTAAATCCTAAACCCTAAATCCTAAACCCCCAATCCGAACCCTAAACCGTTTCAACCCAAAAGGCCCGACCATTGCCATGCTCCGCGCGCTCAGCACGTTCCGCCCGCTCCGCCCGGTCCGCGCGCCGTGCGCCGCGCCTGGCAGCGCCCAAGTTTGAGGCAGGGGCAGCTATAGGGTTCAGGAATTAGGATTCAGGGTTTAGGGACTAGGGTTTTGGGATTAGGGTTTAGGGTTCAGGGATTAGGGTTTAGGGTTTGCGGATGAGATATGATTTGAATTTAGGGTTGATGTTTTTAGGCTTCAGGGTTAGGGTCTAGGGATACGACCCCCATGCAGAATCGAATGGAATCGAACATGGAAAATGAGGTGGAAACTGATTAATCTAGATCTGTTGTAGAGGTTTTGTGGGGTGCGAGGCCTAGGTGTTTGGAATAGGGTTGTGGGCATATACTATATACCGTAGTTACAGTTGTATAGGGATTATACTGGAATAGTAAGAGCAATCAAGGTCTACGTAAAGGGGGAGTGCCCATCAGCATGGATTCTGAGCAGTACTGAGCCCAAAGGCTGTCTAGAGGCCCAGCAAATCCAGGCCTTAGCCCGAAAAAAAACGGGCATGTCAACGAAACAGGACCAGTGATGAATATGCTCGTCAAGTATCCTATGACCTGAACCCCAACTCCATCTGCAGTCTAGGCATATGCGCGCGCGTCAGAAAGCTAAGAAACTGGACAACCGAACCTGCGTTGTTGTTGGGCTGAGTCATGCTGGACAGGACAGTCTTAACAGCCCGGAACTGAAAGGCAGGAAAGCTCTAGGGTAGTTGTGCCACCTTGGTTGATGTCAACCATGGCAAGCCATAGTGCAGTTTTTTGGGAGCATCTGAAGCACGTCGCGCAATGATGATGACCTTGCTTCAAGGCTCTACCAAGTACAGTGCTATTGCAGGTGAAGGAACGATTTCTGAAAACGATGCCAGCACAAATCATCCCTCCTCTCCTTCCATCGCCAGTCGACTTTTCATCTCAGCCCCAGGACAGGGTTTGGGATTTCAGGGTTCCTTTGGCATTTGCGGGATGCCGTGCGCTCCAAAGATCGTCGTAAGATCTTTGCGCATGAGCACAGCTTGCACATACTCACCCATACTTCTTCCGGATGTTTCACGACTGAAACTTCGTAGGAACTATCATGCATGTCTTCAAGGGGGATGAATACAGCTGCCTCAGCGCATAAGCTTGTTAGTTGTCAGTAGGGAATGGAGGAGGATGGATCACTATAGTAGTCCATCTGTAGCCCTTGAGAATACAATCGATTCCATTTCTTTTCCATTTCTTCATGCCCTGCTGACAACGAGCATGTAAAGAGCCAATTTAAGCTTATCCAGCATCCCAATTTGGCGCTTGTCCCATGCCCTTCGAGTTTACTGAGAAAGTTTACTGATATGTTCTCCCTCTCAGATCCCATTAATTTCTCCCCAACTAAACGGGAAGCCCATAATATGGGTAGTTTCCCAAAAGAGGGGGACGCCAGTTCCTGCAAAAAAGACCACTAACCTAAGCAAACTCCCATACAGTTATAGGCCCTTTTAAAATGTCACTGGTCTTTGATCGAGCCTTGTGGCTTCTATGTTAGCTTTGGGGGGAAGCTTACAGTAGGGTTTAGGATTGAGGGATTAGGGTTTAGGGTCTAGCGCACCCTTAACTGATAGAACCTTGTCTCGACCACCGTAGTCCTTATCATGGGAAATGTCTAGATTTGCGGTAATACTTCACAGCACACAAATTTGTTGCAGAGGGGTTATTCCTATTTCTTGGTAATGTGTACGCTGCTCATGCACAGATTGGCAACCTCATCATTTTGAAGCTTAGGGTTGACGGTTTAAGGTGTAGACATGCTTGCACCCATATCAAAATCCCGATTCTATTCACTTAGTCCTCGAGACCAGCTCCAGGTGATTGCCAGTACAGTGTGTAAGACCATTTAAAGCCGAATTACACCCTAAACCCTTGCTACCGGAGGTTGCTTCGCCTCATGGTTCGTCATCAGGCTTGCCTGGTTTGGGGTTTAGGGTTTAAGGTTTTGGGGTTAGGGTTTATAGTTGGGGGTGCAGGGTATGGGGTTTACGGTTCAGGGTATGGGGCTTAGTGGTTGGGGTTTGGGGTTTAGGGTTTGGGGTGTAGGGTTTGGGGTTTAGGATTTGGGGTCTAGGGTTTGGGGTTTTGGTTTGGGGTTGAGGGGCTGTGGATTGAGGACTGTTGGTTTTATATGGGTTCATATGGGGGTTTCCCAAGAGTAGGGGCGCCTTTTTTAGGGTTCCCATAAGAAGGATCATCCTATTTTGGTGTCTATATTGGGTCCCCCCTATTTAGGGTAAGTATCATGTCTTGAGTTTGGCTTTTAATTGGTTTAGGGTTTAGGGTACGCTTGATAGTGATCATGCGTTCATGCTTCGGGGTATTTGTTGGAAATTGAGGTTCAAGCTTTGCGTGCTGTTGGCGGCTGAGCGGTAGCTGTACAAGAACAAGAAAGCATTTTCACGTGAGGTAGTACTGTACGGGTATTGTGGTGACAGGAGTTGAATTTCCGTGGCGAGTGTACATGGCGTGCTCATTGGGGGGGAGCAGCCATGAGAACTATAAGTCACCTGGGCCTGCTTGATTCAATTAGGAAGTTTGGAGGGGAGAAAGGTTGGAAGAGGGTTCCTAGGTGTATGCATTTGTCTGCTTTTTGAGGTGATGAGAACCTCCTTGTCCAATATTGAAGCTAAGTAGCAGGCTTCTGACCCCCCACGCAACGCCACGCTGCTATTCCCTGCCCTAAGCTCTAAAGCTTAAACACTTCCGTCTCCTTTGAGAGCACCATTCCCTACTAAACACCCGTAAGCCAGTAAGCAAGGACGCGACCGCCTCGCGCGCATGACTCCTTCCCCTTGCAGGTGGATCTGCTGTGCTTCAGGGCCTCAGGGTTTAGGGTAATCAGGGGTCAAAATAAAGAAGTTCTAACCAACCATCTTGCGGTCTATTTAAAGTACCCTGCTTATATAATTGTATAAGTACACAAGCAAGCAGAGCGGGGCAGTACCGCTCTTGAATTAGCTTAGACATCCTTGGAAAAGTCCAGTGTAAACACTTTGGCTCAGTTGTTTTTGCCAGTCCCGCCTTCAAAAACCGTTTTCCTACCCAGAATGACCATTTAAAAGAGCAACTCCCCAAGCTTCATGACCCTCGTAAGAACCCTAGTCTGACAGCGTTAGGGTTTAGGATGTAGAGTTTCGGGTGACCTGCTCAATGTGCGTGTAATTGCACAGAAACATTTGCGAAGTACACGTTTGCGGAACATCTAGACGTAGATACTTCACTTACATCTACTCTTACTGTTCTGTACGGCTATTGCTATCCAAAAAAATGT